AGAGTCATCCTGAGGCAGGATGGGGCCGTGTGTGAGCTGGAGATCCGGGGCCTGGCTGTGGCCGACGCTGGAGAGTACTCGTGTGTGTGTGGGCAAGAGAGGACCTCGGCCACACTGTCCATCAGGGGTAACAACCATGTGTGGCCAACTCAGTGAATTCTCTGTGCCACCTGTTCTGTGTTCTCCCCTTGTCTCTTGATGTGACTGTCATCTCAGGGCCACAGTCACCATCTGTCTGATATATCACACAAACACACACTAATGACAAACTGGTTGGCCCAGTCTAGGCCCTGGGGACAGAGCCCAGGGGTGAGTGGTGCAGGGACCCTAAGGAACACACCAGCAGGCAGGTGTCAGGATTAAGGTGAGGTGCTTTGGGCTATTGTCAAGTGGCCAGAGCTGCAGATGCATGCAGGCTCTTGGACCCTAGGTGTGGAGTTGGGGTCATGTGTGTTACTTGATGGATGTGCACAGGAGGACAGAGTTGCACAGTTGGGGTTCAGGGAGGTGATGGCCCTACAGGCCACATGCTCCTGTGTGTGGTGATAGCATTTGATTGACACTTGAAGTTCTGTGGAGCCTCTGAAGGGCTCTGTCTCCATTAGCTCAGGCTGCATAACAGACACCACAGATGGGTGATTTAAGCAACAGACATTTATTTCTCCCAGTCCTCGAGGCTGGAAGTCCAAAAGTAAGGTATCAACAGGGTTGGTTTCATCTGAGGCCTCTCTTCTTGGTGTGTAGAGGGCCATTTCCTCCCTGTGTCCTCACATGGTCATCTGTCCATGTGTGTCTGTGTCCTGATCTTGTAAGGACACCAGTCAGATTAGATCAGGACCCACTCCAATGACCTCATTTCATCTTAATTACCTCTGGAAAGACCTCCATCTCCACATAAGTTTGCATTCTGAGGTCCTGAGGGTTAAGACTTAAACATGAATTTGAGGGTCACATGGTTCAGCCCATAACACCCTGCCTGCTTGAATAAATAAATGCATGTCCTTCTCGCAAGAATACATCAGCCCATCTCTATCCCCAAAGCCTTAACCCTTTCCATTGTCAACTCCAAGTCCAAAATCTGATCTAAATCAAATGTGGGTGAGAATAAGCGAGGCTTCAGCCTGAGGCAAAATTCCCTTCCAGCTGGGAACCCATGAAACCAGACAAGTTAGGTGCTTTCAGGTGCAACAGTGGGACAGGCGTGCTGTAGACATTCCCATTCCAAAAGGAAGAACTTGGAGAGAAGAAGGGGACACCAGTCCTATGGATTAGGACCCAACTAATGATCCCTGTTTACCTTAATTACCTCAGAAAAGACCCTATTTGCAAGTGCAGTCACATTCTGAGGCCCAGGGGCTTAAAACTACAACATGTGAATTTTGAGGGGATGCAATTCAGCCCAAGAGAGGGTGTAACCAGGGTGTATCCTGTTCTGCTGTAGCTTCTGAAGCTCATATTCTGCCTGGAGTCACGATGGAGGAAAGGATGCTGTTGGAGGCCATGGCTGGAGTCCATCAGGATCTGGGTCATCTGAGCCTGGAGAGTGGGGTCCCAATGGGGTCGGGATAGGCGCGTGAGATGGAGGAGTTGGGGCCTGGTGTTGGCAGGGATGGCATGCAGTGAGCCCATGAGTGCCAGGTGTGGACAGTGCTGGTTGGACATCCCACCTGGGATGGGGAGCACACAAAAGGGATGATGATGGAGCAGTGGATGTTATGACCGGGAGGTGCCTCCTGGGGTCTCTTCCGGTAGAGCTGTCCATTGTGTTGTTGCGCGTGTGGGTTGTGACCTGGAGGAGCTCTGAATAAAGCAGAAGTCAGCACTTACTAGTGTGAAGGGTCATGGGTAGGACAAGAAGACCTATAAGAAAACAACAGGCCTGGATGAAGCTAATCTCAGACTGCCCTGTACCTCGGCAGGCAAAACACATGAAGATTCCATTGTCACACACACAATGGCTGCCTATCCCACATCCCCATTGTTCCTGCTTCTACATTGATCCTGAGTGTTTACGTTGGCCCACAAATCCTCAAGAGGGATTGATGGCTTCTGTCCATCTGGCCATCTGCAGCCCTGCCAGCTCAATTTGCTGAAGAGCTAAAGAGCAAGGGGGCCACGGAAGGGGCCACAGCCACAATGCACTGTGAGCTGAGCAAGCCTGCCCCTGTAGAGTGGAGGAAGGGGCCCGAGACCCTCAGCGCTGGGGACAGTCATCCTGAGGGAGGATGGGGCCATGTGTGAGCTGGAGATCCAGGGCCTGGCTGTGGCCAATGCTGGAGAGTACTCGTGTGTGTGCGGGCAGGAGAGGACCTAAGCTGCGCTGTCAGGGGTAACGACCATGCGTGGCCATATAGACCAGTGGCTTGGTGTTGGCACATTGTCACCATGTTACCACCTTCTCTCTGATAGGATTTGGTGGGCATCTGTGTCTCCCCAGCAGGGATCCCAGGGTCTCTCCCGGCTTCCATCTCCCCTCCAGCAGATGTCCTGATTTTCATGTTCAGTCCTTTGTGTCCTCTGTCTGTCTAGTTCCAATTGCCTCTGTCACCATCTGTACATTCATTCACTAGTTCATGCCATGGCCCTTTGTAGTTTGTGTGATCCTTGTAGGTATCTTTGTTCTGAATACAGTCTTCCAGACAGTCTGATGTTCTGTATGTCATCCTAACCCTTCCCAGTGCTGCCCCCTAAGTTCACAAAGGGTCTGAAGAAGGAAGAGGCCACAGAAGGGGCCACGGCCACACTGCGCTGCGAGCTGAGCAGGCCTGCCCCCGTGGAGTGGAGGANGCCGTGTGTGAGCTGGAGATCCGGGACCTGGCTGTGGCCGATGCTGGAGAGTACTCGTGTGTGTGTGGGCAGGAGAGGACCTCGGCCACGCTGACCGTCAAGGGTAAAAACTGCGTGTAGCCACGTGGAGCAGTGGCTCCGTGTCTGAGTGCTTGGGCACAACCCCTTGCTATGCTCGTCTGCATAGGTATTTCCAGTTCTCTCTGTGTCTCCTGCCTTCCTGCAGCCTGAGTGTCAGTACATGCCTATGTGAGGCCTTCTCAAATACAGAGCAGAGAACAGGGCCTCCTCCCTCATGGGGTCACATCTGGGGGAGAGGAGGAGGGCAGCCAAACAACACAAATGGTGGAGTACAGTCCTCTTGAGGGGGCCCTGCCGGCAAGGATTAGGTAGTAGATCCAATTGTGGCCCTCAAGGCAGGGATGTCAGGAGGTATGGTCAAGGAAGAGAGTCAAGCATATTTGACTGGCCATGAAAGAGCCATGTAGGTGGTCTTGTGTCCACTGTCCAGCATCTGGGCGCCATGGGAGGTAAGGTGGGTATGGAGGTGAGGTGGGTGTGGAAGTGAGGGAGATGTGGAGGTGAGGGGGGTGTGGAGAGTGAGATGGATGTGAGGTGAGTGCGAAGGGCAAAATTTAGGTGGGGTGGGTGTCGAGGTGAGGTGGGTGTGGAGGTGAGGAGTAGGTTAGATCTGGAGAAGATGGAGGGGTAGGGAGAGCAGGGTTGAGGAGCACAGCCCTAGCCAGGAAGGGATGGTGGGTGTCCATGCTGGGGAGGGGGTCCGTGTCTCGTGTCTATAGCATGTGGGTTGGTGGGCATCCATGCTGGTTTGGAGTTTCGTGTCTTGCATCTGTGGTAGGCTTGTTGGCTCTTCGCTGCAGCAGTAGAGGACTCATCTAGATGTGGATAAGTGGTCTGGGGTGGTTTTCAGATGACATCCCAGGTCGAGGGGTCGAGGGTGGGGGTAGGGGCTCGCTCAGCTGGAGCAGGTGGGCTGGCCCATGGCTTAGAGTAGGGGGATGACAGCCAGTTGTGTCAGCATCCCTGCAGGGAGTGGGCATGTGGTGTCCCCTCACATTGGAGCAGCCCCTGTGTGGGGTGGGCGTCCTGCCTGGTGTTCCCAGGGCCTCATCTCCAGAAGGTACCTGTATTGTCACCTTGGTATTCGTGGCCTCTTCCTTGTCTGCAAGCTGCAGCATCCAATGGTCTGTGTGCCTGTCTTACCCTCCCCAGCCCTGACCCCAAATTCACAAAAGTCCTAAGGCCTGAGAAGGCCACAGGAGGTGCCACATCCATGCTGCACTGTGAACTTAGCAAGGCTCCCCCATGGAGTGGTGGAAGGGGCCTGAGACTCTCAGAGATTGGGAATCAGGACGGGGCCTGGCCATGGTGAGGTGTGGATGGTGGCCTCACAACAGGCCAAGTCTCCATGCAGGGATTCTGGGTCCTCAGGAGCCCTTGTAAAGTCCTGGTCACTTCTTGAAGGGGAAGCAGATTGACAGAGACAGAATGTCCTGAGAGGGTCCCAGGAATAACATCGATAAAGGAACACAGCAGCTGGGGTGTCTCAGAAGTGGCAGAAAGATACCTCTGTAGGTGTGCGGGGGCTTCACGTCCTGGGCCCTGGACAGACCCACTCGTGCAACAAAGTGGACAGTGAAGAAGAGGATTCTGGAGGTCAGGCAGGCGGTCATGTGCACAAATATTCAGACCTTTGGGGAGAGGCCACCACCATGATTCCTTGAGCTGCGTGGACAGAGCACAGACTCCCAGCATGGAGTCCCTGGGCTCTCATGCTAGTCAGACCCACTGGGAGACCAAAGAGGTATGGGCTCAGAGGGCTGTCACTCAGCCAACAGCCAAGGAGCCCAGGTCCCTAGGTAACCAGCTTCAGGCTGCCCGAGAGAGCAGCTTCTAGAAGTGTGCCAAGCCAGAAGGAGGGTGGCTCCTGCATCCTCCCAGCTGAGGTGTTCCTTGCTCTGGTCTGTCTAGGCCAGTCCTGGTATGTCCTGGGCTCTGGCCTCAGGAGCTACAGGAGGTGACAAGAAGTGAGCACTAGTGCAAACTTGTGGGAGAGATTCAGGCAGCCTTTTTCATGTCACCTTTCCCTGGCCATGCTGATCAGGGTCACTATGCTTAGAAATAGGGAGCCACAAAGGGGACCCTGGCCATGGTGCTGTGAGCTGAGCAGCCTGGCGGGTAGATTGAGGGAAGGGGCCTAAACCCTCAAATCTGGCCTCAGATACAGTCTGAGGCAAGACGAGCCACAGAAGCTGCCCAGGTGTCTGTCCATATGTTCCATTGAAACTGGCCATTTCCCTGTCTCTGTCCTGGGAAGAGGAACTTACTGAGGATCCCGCTTCTTCGTCTCCTACTGGCTGGGCACTACTCTCCATCTTTGTGTCCACATGTCCAAGCCTTTATTCTTCATTTGCTCCAGGGTGTGTTTAATTGTCAAGTGTCAGTGTCCAGCCCCTGCTGCCAAATTATCCAGACAGTCTGATGTTCTCTGGGTTCTTCTGACCCTCCAGCCCTGCCTGCCACGTTCACAAAGGGTCTGAAGAAGGAAGAGGCCACAGAAGGGGCCACGGCCACACTGCGCTGCGAGCTGAGCAGG